AAAAACCCGGTGTCTTCACCTATCACACACACACAGTCTAACACATTCCATTCTCTGCTCCCTTTATAGTTTGAGAATGGTGAGGATGTAGTGAGCCCTGGATCTGCAGTCAGTAATTTACTTCTGCAATCAAAGTTGCACTCTAACCAAGTTTAGGCTCTATTCCATATCATGGAAAGAATCCTTCCCTCCCTACCCATGCTCATCTGTGATGGCAGAAGTAGGAGCAGTACGCTGAGGGCCTGCTGAGTCCCCAACCTCAGAAAAAACTCCTTTTCTGCTCTAAACTGAGGCTTTGATTATGGTGAGCATTGTTGTAAGATCTGTGTATAAGATCCACAGCTCTGGTGGCTGCTGTCTGGAGCCATCAGGAATGGTCACATCAGAGAACGTGTAGAACAGGCTCTAAGCCTTCAAAAACCTTCTGCTGCTTGGCATGGGGTGTTGAGACTTTCTGCAAAGAGCTGTGAGCTCAGTAAGTGAGATGAGATTTACTTATGCAGTTAATTGTTTGAAGTAGAAGGGCCCCTGACTTTGACTCGCCTATGACACAAAAGTAGGATGATACAGTAACTGAGCCAGCAATCAAATCAGAAACTTCAAACAGCTTATTCTTACACAACGGAACCTTATATTGTGATGTGTAGTAACTTCAAAGAGAACTAGAAGTATTGTTTTAAGTGGTCATTTGAGAAGTAATTTGGATGTGTTCACACTAGTGTGATGCTTAATCAGAAGAACAATCTTGGTAGTTTGATGTTTTCACTGGAGAATCTCTGAGCAAGGGTAGACAGCTGGTACTGAATACAGTGCCAGAAGGTCTGTTTCTGAAATCTCTAGATGCCACAGACTAGGAATGCAGTTCCCAAGGAGGCCCAAGAATGACCTGTATTCTGGGAAACACGCCTTATATTGGGAGATTAAAGGAACTCCATTTAGCTTATTCAAAATAAGGTTAAGAGGAGATTTAATCACTGCCTGTAAGTATTTACTCAAGGAGAAGATATCTGATAGTTGAAGGCTCTTTAATCTGACAGAGAAGTATAATAAGATTTAGCAGTTGGCAGTTGAAGACTGAAAATTTCAAGATAGGAATCCCCCCCATTTACTTTAACAGTGAGAATAATTAACCATGAGATGTGCATTACTACTAGACTTAAAATTCTCCATCACTTGGAATCTAATAAAAATGAAACGGTTTTCTGAATAGGTTTTAGAGTAACTACTATTTTTTTTCCTTGTTGCAGCAATATTTGGGTAGAAATGTCCTTAGCTCTTTAACACATCAGAGTTTTACTGTCCGTTTCATCTTGTAATTATTAATGCTTTACTCCTGCTTAAAAACATGAGTTAGTGTTTCATAAATTTCTTGGAGATTTCTTTCTTGGAGATTTTTTTCAGCATTGGTAGAAACAGAAGTGTCAAATTGTACTGAGGGATCATAGGATGACTAGTCTAAGAGGTGTTAAATTAACTGATTGAATTCTTGTTACCTCTTTGCTTTTGTTTCCATCTATTTTCACTCTCTGCAGGAAAGGGGAAGAATTCAATATCAATGTTTGAAATCTGATAGCAGATAAAGGCACAGATGGGGGACACTCACACAGGAAAAATGTATTTATGTTAATATTTTCGCTGAGTGATATGTGCTAAAAGCACCATAGTGCTGGCAGGGAATGTGAAGGTATAATGAAGTCTGCTTGTTTTATTAGGGTGTTCATATTTTTCTTTTTCATCCTTTCACAGAAGCAAATCCAGAGAAATTCAACAGCCGATTTAGAAATAAAATGTTTTATGCAGGGGTGAGTTATGATTTGTCTTACAGAACGATGCTAACTTAGATGCTTGAATGTTTGTTTAGGTATGGTCCCTCACACTTTCTCACATCAGGAGCTCATTGCCAGGTCATTTTGCCCATTGCAATTTCAAGTGCACACACAGAGGTGTCAGTTGAAAAGTGCCTGAAGTACAGGTATTATACAGAGGTGAGCAAGTGAGAGAAATGCCACTCCTTTGGACACAGTCCTGGTCATGTCTTGTTCCCCCTGCTTCTGGCTTGTACGCTTCTCAAGAAATTGCCCCTCTTCTTTCAGGGTTTGGGAAGAACATAGATATTGACTTTCCTAGAGGAATTCCCAAAGTTTTGGCATGTATCTTTGTGGCTTTGAGGAACAGTCTTGGATGTAGAGTCATGAGGAGTAGAGGGCAGAGATCAGGTATCTGGAGTGATTAATTTTCATGTGTGAATATGCTAATAGAATTACCCAGTTGTGCATTCAGGAGGTACATGGACAACATTTTATTCTAAAGCTATCAGGAGAGGAACACTAGTTTGATAGTGTATGACATAGAATGTCTTTCTGGATGATGACTCCCACTGTACCCATGTGCCTTAAACATGGAAACAAGTATGTAAGCAAGAATTTGCACCTAAATCCTTGAGTCCTTAAATCCTTTTTTCAGTTAACCTCTCAAAAGGAGGAATACCATAATAATAATAATAATAATAAAAAACAAACATCAAACCAAAACCACCACACCTCCAACAAACAAACATACATCTTCTATGAAAATAAGTTTGACAAAAGAATGGCATTTTGGTAATGTGGGGGAATAAGAAAAGAGGAAAGAATAGAGAGGAAGTGCCACTGACAATTCCTGCACTTATTTCTGTTGCAGGCAGCATTTACAGACTTTCTGCAAAGAAGCTCAAGAGATTTATCCAAGCATGTTAAAGTTGTGGTAAGTATAAGAAATCACAGTGTCATAGTATTGTGGGAAGGGGGTGGGTGTGGGAGGTTGGAGAGAGAGTGAGGTGAGAGTTTAATGGCTCTGTTACTTTTCAGTTTTGAGCATGACATTTGCAACACATTCCAAGGAAAGTCTTGGGAAAGTTGTTACAAAGCAGCAACACTTCTCTTGTCTGTGGCTCCATTCAGCAATTTCTCTGTGCTCTGTCACTTTGGCTTTGTAGTGTGATGGTACAGACCTGACTCCAAAGATCCAGGAGCTGAAGTTCCAGTGTATAGTGTTTTTAAACATACCCAGGTAAGCTTAAGACAAATGCTTGGAGTTATAAAAGGAAAATAATAATAATTTTTAAAAGAAACCTGCCAGTTGTCCTAGACTGGGTGAACGTTCTGGAAGCATATTGCCACTGGGCTGCCTTGTTGAGAGTTAAGTGCTTATAATACTGTTAATTAGCAATACAAAATGGCATCAGAGTGCGGCGAAACCATCCTTCAAAAAGTTGAATATCTTCATAGAGTAGAAATGCTTAACAAACTCACTTTCAAAAGTTGTGCACCTAACTGGCAAAGGAGATAGTAAAGGAAGACACAAATGTCAAGTCTTTTGCTTAATTAGAATCAAAGTGAAAGAAAGGAAGGAGGGAGGAGGGGGCAGACATGGAGGGAAGGATCAATATTTTTCCAGTAGAAGAACACCAAATTGTTGAAAGAAGGTTACATGTTACAAGGTGTCAACTAACAGAAACATGGTTGTTTTCTTTAAAGTTGTCAATTTCTTGCTTTTTAGAACAGTAGTCTCCAAACTTCTTTTGATTGTGCAACCCTATCAGTAAAAATCTTTTGATCACCACCCCAAAATGTAAATATATATATTTATTTCTACATTATATACACAAACCCTCTACTACTATTGCATACAACATAAAGCAAACACAAACAATAAATTTAGAAGGATGTCATAGAAATGAAACAAACTTACTTGAATGATTTTCTTATTTATTAAAAGTAAAGCAGTTTTTTTTCTTTGCACACTCTAATTGTCTTGTCAGCTGTGGATTTTTCTAGCATACACCCTGTAGTGTGTGCACCTCACTTGGAGACCACTGCTTTAGACAAGCTACCACTTTGCTCCACATGCAGTCCCAAGCACTCGATCTTTTGAGTCCTGCACTGCCTTCGCTGCAAGCTTCTACTTGGTGTCATCTCTCTAAAGTTCCCCCTTTTAAAACTCTCAGATCACTTGTACATCCCTTCTTTAATGGTAGAAAAGACAAATATCACAGCTATATCTGTCCTGCTTCTTATTCTCCCTGCCACCTCAAGCTATGCAATGTTTGGCATTCCTTGTGCTGTTAGAACTGCTGAGCTAGCTGGGAGAGGGGAAATGGAGCTCCAAGGCTGGAACTGCTGCAGCAGCCCCATGCCTGCCTAGCATAGGGGCAAAACAACTTTATGGCTCAACAGGTCACCTGCAGGAATCAGAGCAAATAAGGAGAACAAAATGCCGCTGCTCTGTTATGTATTTCCTGGTGTTTCCCCCTTGTCCTCTCACAGAGGAACCTGATACAGATTATGGTGGATACATCTGTGGGTGTTGTATCAGCTTGGAAACGAGCAGAACAGGCTAATAGGCTACTTATTAGTTAGGACCCCCCAGGGCCAGCTGCTTTCTCAAACTTGCTTTCCAAACCTCTTTCTGTAGGTATTGTGCTGGCACAATGCCCTGGGGAAACCCTGGAGATCACAGAGACTTTGAGCCTCAGCGCCATGATGATGGCTACATCGAGGTCATCGGGTTCACCATGGCCTCGCTGGTGAGTGCATTGCAGGTGCTCCCCTGCCTGCAGGGAATGCCAGACTCGGTCAGCTCTGTGGGCAACGCGGCAAGAGAGCAAAGCTGTCCTTGTTACTGAAGGAAGACAAGTATATTTCCACGTAGTCAGCCAAGGCCAAACCCTGTTCTGCTGTTAAATGACAGAGTCAAGCTGCAGTTTTCTAATAAAAGAGGTGTTATTTAATAATAAAAATATATTCTTTGCAAAGTAGGGCTAATTTGCATGTGCAATGCTCCCAGCTTAAATGGTAAGATTATTACAGTAAGAACACTACAATAAGAATAGCATGCAGGCATGATTTTACTGGGAAATGTTCTCTGATGAAGTAAATACTGCTTTTCCTTTTAACTTTTGTATATTTCAATCTGTGGCATAAAATTCCTTTTTTTTTTTCCTTTTTTTTTTCTTTTTTTTTAATAACTAGCTATTGAAAATAAATATGAACTATTATATAAAACTACATGCCCATGCTGTGAAACTTCACTAATAGCTGTGGAAAACTTATTAATATTTCTGGCATGAATGTTATCTCTCCTTTTTATTTGCTAGGAAAAAGAAATTCAGCCAACAATTTAAAGTTGTCAATGCACATTCTGTTAATGCAATCCTTAAAGTGAACTAAGACTGAGTTACCACAAAAGCATTCTCACTGTCCAATACTCTGATGTCCTGCTTATCGCAGTGGTCAAAACCAGTGATACAGTGACGTAATCTCTTCAGAAGCTGATTAAATGCAGTCAGAGAGTTGGTAGTTAACCCTGTGCTAGCACTAATCTACCCAGGGCACTGCAGCTTGAACTTGGTGTGGGCAGCAGAAGGCCTTTATCTGGGCTTCCTGACAGGTTTTTATAAATCACACTTAAATCCATAACTTTAGCCCTTTGTTGCTGCTATGTCTTGAGTGAATGAGGTTAAAACTAGATTTTCACTAAACTCACATACTTTTTGTGTGACCCGCCCCCAGTGCTTATCACTTTCAGTGAATACCCACGACGATGGTGTTTGCTTACCCAGAGAGAAATCCTGGCAAATGTAGTCTTCAAAGTAAGCAAAAGACAATCTTGATCAACAATCATTTCTCTAAAAGTCTGTGTGGGTTAAGGATTTTTTTTTTGGCCTTTGTTTTTTGATGGGTCATGTGGATTAGGGAAAAAACCTACAAGTAAGAAAAGATTTGTTTGTTAGCCTAATGGATCTTGTGGAGTAAACGTGAAGAATTTAGGGCATGTTTTTGAAAATGCTGTCAAAATTCTATTTAGCACGTACCAACTGGCAGTTTTCAGTTGAAAGTGAAAGTGGCCAGATTGATCTCAAAAGCTACTAACAATTTCAGTTGGGGCTTAATTTGAGAAGTAGGACCCTTTGAGCTGCTGCTTCTCTTTAAAGGAAGCCTAAGGTCTACAATTTTACTTTGATTGTGAAGCTGAGGAACCTCTGTAACCCTAGACTGTTTTGATATAATCCTAACTTGCTCTGTGTGTCTCTCAGATGTGCTTGCTCATATCTAAGAAGCTCTGTGAAAACAAGGGAGAGAAATGCTTTATAAGAACTATTATTATTGATCATAATTTCAGTTGATCCATAATATTAAGTGCACAGAGTAAGCTTAAGGTCTTGACTTGTGTTTGGGCTGTTCTCTGTTAGTACTGCATTAATATAAGACTTTTTTTCTGCATCTGATAGATGAGAATAGTCATACCCATTAAAAAATACATTTCTACCCAAACATATCTCTCCAGAACTTGAAGGATCTGCTCATTATCTTCCTTGCCTAATTTCTTGGAAAAGAATTCTTAAACGTGTTATTTAATTGTTTTGAACAAGGTCTTTCTGCTTGCTCTTTTCAGTCTGTCTAATTTTGAGGTTGACTTGCTGTGTAAGCTTGCATAATAAGGATTTTAAATTGATCTAATTCATATTAAGGACTATGCTGTTCAGGAAGGGAAAATAATTTTTCTGTATTGCAAATGTATCTAATTAGGGTTGTTGTTTTAAAAAGCAAATAATTATTAGCATTACTATTAGTGTAAAAACAAACCAACCAAAACGCATGCAATGCATGTGTTTAGATCTTCTGTTGTTTGTTTTCTTCCAGGCTGCTCTCCAGGTGGGTGGTCATGGAGAGAGGTTGCACCAGTGCCGTGAGGTGACACTTTTAACATACAAGTCTATCCCCATGCAAGTGGATGGAGAACCATGTCGATTGGCTCCCTCACTCATTCGGATCTCCTTAAGGAACCAAGCCAACATGGTGCAGAAGAGCAAGAGGAGAACATCTATGCCTTTGCTGAACGAGTGAGTTGGATACATGCATGTCCTAATGGCAGGAGCCTCGTTGGGGCAGCATATTTGGTGATGGATTTTGCATGTACTGGACTTGCAGCACATTTAAAAAATAAGAAAAATAAATCACATCTTCTGAACTTCCTTTTGACTGTATTGTAAATACTTATCTGGCTTTCTTTTACTCTTTATCTTCTGGATTACCCTCTATCTTGCTTTAAGGCTGGTGCTGTGCCTTTCTATTATTTATTTAGAGAGGTTTGTGCAGGCTTAGTGTTGTGACTCTTGGCTTCTGATAGTTCTGCATATGTATGCCATTGCTCTTGAAGTTATTTTGATTTATTTTCTCAACTTTATTGACCTGCTTTTTAAGCTTCATTGCAGACCCTGTAAGAAATTACCACAATCAAGAATTACTCAGTGTATTTTGCAGTCTCTATTGTGGGACCATGCTGCCTGGCACTGTTTATGGAGAAAGACCTGAAGGTCCAAAAATGACTGTTTGTACTTTGTAGGAAACCCTTCTTCACTATAGAGAAATGAGTATTGTAAAGATAAATAGAGAAAAGCTAAGAAAACTGGAAATGAGGGACATGTGAAGAGGAAAACACAGAACTAACATTCTTGTAATGATTAAAATTTATTCATAAGCACCGCAGGCATACCTTTAATACAAGAAACCTAAATATTCAAATTTTGACCTATAAAAATGGCCACCCAATAAAATAATTTAGATTGTTTTAAAGAGGTTATTATTGTACTTCTTGTGTAGGTCTTTATTGCTGCTAAAATGAGTGACATTGTAACTGCCTTTGCTGTTTCTGATCCATTATACTAAAAGTGAAGCAAAGCAGTCTGACCTGTATACAAAGAAACTGAGCTAAAGGCCTAAAGTTATCAAGGATCCATATTTAATTCTGACAGCTATGCAGTGAGGCCTTAGTTTTTCTGGGGAGGTGGGTGTGGAGTTTTGCTGTTGCAGCTGTAATGGTGAGGCAAGTTTTATGGAGAGATGCAATACCTTTCACTAGACTAGCTCATACAACTAGAAAAAAAAGACAAGGTCTTAGGCACACCTTTTCTCTTCAGGTATCTTGAGAGTAGCCTCCCTCTTTCAATTGTACACCTAGTGGAAGATACTGCTTTACTTCAAACTTTGACTCCTGTCCTATAGAGTTTTTTGTCATCCCCTGGTTGTCAATCTGTTCATGCAATCAAAGCCTCCCTGGTTACTTTCAACACATTCCTGTTCAACTCAGCACTCTGCTCGCTTACTGAGACTAATGCTTTAAGTTTCAGGAAGCCCATTTCTCTAATGGGCAATTTCTATTTGCCTGGAAAATCCGTAAGGTATACTCATCTTTCCTGAGCAGTGAAGAACAGCAGAATCTTGCCTGTGGGCAGCAGTGCCCGATTTCACCCAACCACCCCTCTTTGATCACTTGTGAAAGGTAGAATGGAGCAGAGGGCAGTCCTGGGGCATCTTTTTCTGCACTGAGGGAGACTAATGCAAATGTAAACAGAAAATTCCTGGTCTTTTGATCTGATAATTAGCACAGTTAGGTTTAAATTTTGAGACCTGAATTTCAACTGTGATAAGGAAACAAAGATCTGTGGTATATGCCAGTTGTCAAAGGGATATTCTTGGTGGTTTAGCTTGATTTAAATGTACTACTGTACATGAAATGGCTGTCAGAGTCCTTTGATTTGGCTGAGGTATTTCTCTGCAGGCCTGTGCCTTGGGAAAATACACATGGTTTGTCAGGAACTCCAGTCTCAGATTGACATATCAGAAATGGTGTGTGTATATATTTACATCTATATCTGTATATATTTGTGCATGTATTTTGCTCTCAAGCATTGAAGGGGAAGGAGAGAGGAGTTGAATCTCCTGGCGTGATAAAAAGTTAATAGAATGGTAAAGGTGAAATTCTAGGAAGCATATTAGTGTTGTGAGAAGATCATACAATATGAACCTGATTTGCAGTATTGTTCAAGAGAGAAAATTTTCAATTAAATATGTTTATCTACTTTTCTTAACTTGATATCTGGGATACATCTCTTTCTTCCATTGAAAACTCCCAAAAGCCTTACATTTGATTGAATATGATAAACTGTTCTTTTATGACTATCATCTGAATGTTAGATGCGTGAGATAAGTAAGTGGGTCTGGAGCTATCCCTAATTATTAGACAGCTGTTCTTGAGCTCCTTGCCGGGAAAGCAATTAGAAAATTATCTTGGATCACAGTAATGAGTAGCTACTATTATTATCAGCTTTGATATTATTAACAGTTAAGAAGAGCACTGGGAATGCTCTTTGGAGTTTTAGCTAGTGTAGTGTCATAAGCAGAAAAAGTTAATTTGAAGAAGTCTTACACTTTTTTTTTTTTTTTTTTTTTAAATCCTATTCTCTTTTGTTCTGAAGGTTTGGGATTTCTTTTTCTTAAAAGCTTAAAGAGTTTCCTTAAAAATCTTGCTGCCTAAGTTCTCATTCCTGTTCTCCACTGTTAATCATGGTAGCATGTGAAAGAGACAAGATGTTGTTTGGTTTTCTTTGATCAAGCCAAGGCTGTGGCTGGTATTTGTGAGCTATACCAAAAATTGTAGGGAATAGGAAGAGAAACTGTGGTTCAATTTTTCCAGAAATAATTTTCTGAATGAATACTTTCTGAATCTCAAAATATGGTATTTTGTTTTCACTGACTTTTAGTTCGGGTTGAGGAAGAATGTCCTGCATAATGGAAGAGAAAGGGGAGGGAAGAGTTTATAGATAAAACATATTCTATACACTTGAGAGCAAGAAAGGGTACATTTGAGTGTAAACACTAAAGGAGAGTTAATATTGGGAGTCACTATATGTAAAATGCACATTTCCCTAAGGTACGCGAAAGAAGAATGGAAACAGCAATTTGTCATTGTGGATACAAAATCTTCAGTAAGGGTATTTCTTTATCTTAAGCAGTAACTAAAGATGGTCAACTTTTGGAGGCGATTCCATTCATTCAGGTCTTGGCTTTGATGTCTGTTTGCATTTCTGGACCTGCTTCCAAAGTCTGTTACCTTGAAATTTTTCAGTGGCTGTGGAAGAAATTCTGGGGCCCTTCATCTTTCTTGTATAGTCATGTGCCTAGCTTGTCACTGGTCCTCCTCACTTGTGTCTTGGGAAGGTTCCCATGTGCCACATAGCAGTGATTTTCTTCATTTGCATGTCTTCTGTTGCTCTTGGCTTTCTAGTGTGAACTCAGAGCTCTGCATGTCTCTTCATTCAACTTTTATGTGACACATTCCTTTTGTTTCTGTTTAAATGTTGTATGTCTTTTTCTTTCTTCTCTTCGACTCCTCTCTCTCTCTCTCCCTGTCTCTCCCCTGCCTTTTTTTCTTGTCTATCCACACTGTGTGCTGTTTTTCTCCTGGTCACTCATTTCCTGCTGCCTTATAGTATCCATAAAGTGCAGTCTGCTGACCTGAGGAGAGTCTCGGCTCCCCCTGATTCCTTCACTGTGTGAGTATCCGGCTTTTTTCTATTTTAAAGTTCCATAGTTTGTTATTACCCTGTGTCATTCAGCCAGGAGATGGGGCAGTAAAATCCGGTGACAAATGGGAAGAGGGAACTCAGGTGATAGCATGACAGGCACAGGATCTTGCCAGCAAGGATGCAGTTCCACAGGACCCAAGTAGGGTGAGCAGGATGTGTCTGGTGATGGTGACCAGGTTCACCCATGAGTTCAACTCACCAGAAATCCACAGCAACAGGCAGGTCTGAAGTTAAGTGCCAGGCACCATCCCTGGAAACAGCTGAGATGAGAGCTTTTCCATCCAACACAGGAGTTTTTCTCTGAACACAAGGAAAAATGTTTTCACTGTGAGGTTGACAGAGCACTGGCACAGATTGCCAAGAAAGGTTGTGGAATCTCCATCCTTAGAGGTATTCCTAATGTGCCTGTACATGGTCATGGGCAGCTTGCTCTTGGTGGCCCCGCTTGAGCATGGGTTGCATTAGATGACCTCCAGAGGTCTCTTGCAGCTTTCTGAAATTTTACAGGACCGCAGAATGATTGAAGCTGGAAGTTCCTCATTGTTATTTTGTAAACAAGAAAGGTTTCCAATTTGGTGTGCCTTATCCCTGGATCATATTTGCTGTAGTCTGCTAAGGAGCATAAAGTAATAAAACCAACTATGTCTCACCAATTAAGTATCTAAACAAACCTCCAGAAAAAAAGTTGAGATAACCCTTATTGCTTACACAGAACATTAAGGTGGGGGTCTGGGAGAACAGGTATTTTCTCCAACCTGAGGGATATCCCTTGGAAAATGACCTCCAAATTTTGATACTGTTCATTTGAATGTTTCATTTGATATCAGCTGTCAGGATAAGGCAGGGAGAGAGAGACTTGTGAGCCCCAAATTAATTTGTAAGTCAAAGATGTTCCTTATCTTAAGATCTTTAAAAGTAGATTAAACATACTGCTGCACTGTGGCTGCCAGTTAATGTGTCTGGCAAATTACAATAAGAACCCATGAGGTATCAGGGAAATTTGCATTGAATTATGATGGCTTTGAGATTCAAATATTCCTTTGTTTTTGTGTTGAACAACATAGAATGAGTCTGAGTTCCAGTTAGTAAGGAACAGCAGGGCAGATTCTGCTGAGACCTGAAGATGGATATAGCCTGTCTTAGATAAATTTCAGGATTTCTGCAGCAGGAGATACATGGGAATTTGAGCAGCCAAAATTATTTGATGCATATGGTCTTTGTTGCAGAGACAGTAGAAGTGCTGTGTGATCCATTGCAAATGTTTATACAGTATGCATAAGGAAATACAAATGCTGTATTTTTAATTGAGGGTCTTTTAAAAGGAGGGTAAAGACTTGCATTTTCCAGCTGGATATTCAAAAATGAGAAGATGCACATTTGTGTTGTGTGGCTGATGTAAAGGAACACTGCAAAAAAGTTACCATTTAAAAATAAAACATAATTGACTTGCATAGCTCCTGTAGTCCTTTTACAAG